TTTTTAATTTATTTTATTTCATTATTTTTTGTGTGTACCGTCAAATCAGATCTGACTAGTACAGGAGGAGATTGTTCCTCCTTCTCCAGCAGAGCATCTGGTGGATTTGAACAGTGCATCTCTGAGACTGCAGTTGCAGCTTCTTGCCACTAGGCCACCAGAGCTCGCCCCAAAAGCCTTTTTAAAGGCAAGGCCAGATCCAATCAACTCATACCCTACTGTGAGCCAGAGCCACACCCTAATCTCAACCCCAAACCAGGAAACACACCTCTGCAGAATCCAGCCCTTCGGCTCATCTTCTCAGCCTGGAAATAGACTATTAGTTCCCATATTCTCTGTGGTTGCTTTCAAGCACCAGTAGAGTCGAGTGGTAACAAGAAAGTACTTGGCTTCCAAGGCTACAATACTCACTGTCTGGCCCTTTACAGCCACTACTTACTAGGAAATAAGATCATTTTCTAGGGGGGAAAAAAAGCAGCAGCAGCAGCAGCAGCATTAAATCATTCTGTTTTTCTTCTTGATGCAGTTGAGCTTTGCTGACTTTCCAAAGAATTGGTTTATTTCGAGCATGCTGAATGTGCCTTTTCATGGTTCTCTTTCCTTACCAAGGGATTTTAAAAGTAACAGAGGTTGATAGTATATGAATCACCACCTGGTCTGCATCTATGGCACATGAACTCATCTTTGCCACACTGGTAAAGGTTACTTTATAACTCTGTCCCAAACTCTTTTGCCCATTAAGAGCTTTGGAAGTTAGAGGGGCTGTTTAAGGAAAGACATGAAATTGTAAAAGGGGGGGCTCATTTTATTGAATTTTAAGGCTTCCAGGTGATCTGCAAACCAAGAGTAATTGTAGGAGGCTCTACAAGGTTTAAAGGCACTTGAATACAGAAGAGGTTTTGCAAAATTAAAATTTGTATTTATCTTTTTATTATTAATACTGCTTTGTCCTTAAGAAATTCCTGCCTTATAAAAATGAAAGAACTTTTTTTTTTCCAAAGGAAAAAGCAAACTGGGGAGAGGGGGGACAGAGGAAAATGTGCAACAGTGAATGAATGGAAATCCAAGTTCTTTATAAACTTTCATTAAAATCTCAAAGAAAAGAAAAGAAATTCCTACCTTGATCTAAAGCATTGAAAGTATCTGGTTTTACATCTGACAAGAGGAATGCCTTCATCAGGGGTAGAATTCACTTTGGGGAGATTCCCCAACACTTCATGAAAGGAATATACAAAGTGATCATAAATATAACCATTCTGCGTGGCACAGCCAGAAGGGAAGTGTGCTGCGTCTCTGATGATTTGAATCCCCAGAGAAAGAGGCGCTATCTCCCGTGCAATTTAACAGCTTCAATACCCAAAATCCAGTGGAAGGTCTCCTACGCCCCTTCAACTCAGGGGCAGTAACAGAGAGACTGGACATACCAGTCGTACATACCTATCTAACGTGCCTCACTTCTAACAGTTTGTCCTCTGTCAATGTTTAACTATTTTGGGAAGTTGTTATTATGTAGTGAATAAAAATAACAAATATATGTGACTTTGATCAGACAGACAACTACATGCAAAATAAAATGGCCTGCTTTTATTGGTTTAGAAAAAAACACGTCAATATTTCTTTACTACTTGGAAAAAGAAAATGGGTGTTGATTTTTCCATGTAGCAGTTATTAGCTTAAAGATAGCAGTTTTAGTCATGACTTCAAAAGGTAAAAAGGTTCACTTTGATTTTGGATGAGTCATTAAAGCCATAAAATAAGTGTGTTTAATGAGGCAATCAATAATGAGTTCCATAGTTTGCAGCCCTGAAAAATCACTGGAATAATTATAATTATAATAATAATAATAATAATTATTATTATTTGCGAGGGTGAAACCAAGTCTCTCCTTGGAGGCTAGGATTTTGAAGCTCCATCTCACATACTTTGGGCATGTCACCAGGAGGGACCTGTCCTTGGAGAAGGACATCATGCTTGAAAGGGTAGAGGGACAGCACAGGAGAGGAAGACCCTGGATGAGATGAACTGATATCAGTAACTGGGATGATGATGTATTGGAGTCAGTGAGACTTTCTCAGGACAGGGCAGGCTTCAGAGCTGTTGTACATAAGTTTGCTATGAGTCAAAGGCGACCTGAGGGCACATAACAACAACAACAACAACATACTAACTTTAAAAAGGCTATGGCAATCTTGGAAAGATTTCAAGAACTATGACCAAAGTTTTTTCTACAAGCTAAGGTATCTTCTTTATCAGATATTGTATACTTACAAATATATTGAGACTTCAGTCTAGTCAATATTCAGAAAGATGTTGTGAGGACACAGTTCCCCTTTGTAAAAGGCCTTCCTCCACATCCTATGCATACCCAGGAATTATGAAACTGTGTCTGTGTTTGAACTCCTCTGCCCTTTTCTGAGCTTATCGATACCCTCTAAGGCTTGAGGCTCAATCTATATAACATGTCTGTAGAACTTTAGAGAAGCCGTTTGATGTTCCCATGACATTGTATAATGTTGAGTAATAAAGACAGCCTGTTGTTGGTATCTTTCCCCAGTATTGATTGAGGGTAATAAATTCAGCTATGGAACAAGGAAGTTCACATTCCCTGGAGAACTCTGTATACCTTTCTGTGTCTCAGTTTCCTGGTCATTCACATTTATGGATTCGACCTATCACCGTTATGAGTCAGAAGGAAGTGTGGCACATTATGGTACAGCCAGATTCACCCAGAGTGGGTTTCACACCTACTGTATGATCTTGTTAGCCGGTACTTGCTGGTCTATAAAGAGATGATGACAGTATCTGCTCATCAATGTGATGAATGAGAGCAGATGAGACCCCAGTGGAAAGGCTGGGCCGGGTGAAAGCCGGCCTGTGGTGAGTGGCCGATACATGTATGATTTCTACATTCTCTCCCCCGGGTCTTCTCTCGCTTTTCCTCAGCACCTTAAAAGATGCATATAAGGAGTGTAGGTGTGTACCACCAGCTTCTCCAGCTTTTGATGCCTCGTGGATTAAACAATCTTTTTTTATTTTAATCTATTGAGCTTTGTAACAGAGCCAACGAAGCTACAGGAGTTATGCTAAGCGGAGAGCTTTAACCTGAGCCCTTCGAGAAGCTTCTTGAATATTGTCCCCGCCCCTTTAGTTAGGTTTGGCTGCTCCTAGTTTCTAGAGGAAGGAGTGGTAGAAGGAGCTGTCACGACCGAGGTGCAGAGAAGCCGGTGGACACCGGAGAAGCAGACAGTGGACACTGAAGGTGTCACGTTATGTGATGACATGTTTCCTCTCCATGTCAAAGAGAAAGTTCAGGGCAGCTTGAAGAACACTTTTGTATAGCAGTTATATCTGTTGTACAAGCAGAAGGCTGTGGATTTGAGCCCCAGTTGAACCACAGAGTTGTTTTGAGGGAGCTCAGGTGGCCTGGTGGGAAGGGAATTGCGCTGCCAACCCCAGACCAGGCAGTTCGAATCCACTAGTTTCTTTTCAGGGGAAAGATGAGCAATCTACTGCAATGCCATTTACAGCCTCTGAAGACCCACTGGGTGGGCAGCCAGGAGTCGGTTTCAGCTCACTGGTCGTGCGCGAGAGAAGAGTGTTTCTAGAAGTCTGGAGCGAAGACCAGCAGGACTCACTCACTCATTGTTACTGGGCTGGAACCTCCTCGCCGACCCTCCCCCGGGTTTCTGAGGCTGTAAACTGAGCAAGAGCAGAGTACTCATATTGGTACCTCAGAGCAACGGTTAGATTTGAACTCCCAGGGAAACTTGGCCTTGGAGTTATCAGCCAGCACAACTGCTTATTGACTGGGCCACCAGGGCTCCCAGACCATTGGCCGTGACTGGTGACTACGAAGCATTTGTCATGATGGAGGAGGAAAGCCACACCCTGCCATCTTTCAAAGTCACCATCAAGTTTCACCATCTCTAATACACGGATAATACCAGTCCTGGTAGCTAATATGAGCTCGAGCATGCGCACACACACTCCCCTTCCCGCTACACGTTAATACACACACACACACACACACACACACACACACACACGGTAATTTTTACCGCATGAGCTAGTCTCCATAATGTAACACCAATTCTATGACAAACAAAACTTTCTGTTTTACAACGTGGAAATAAAATGTCAAGACAAATGATTTGTTTGTGGTAATATATTTTAGAGAGAACTAAGGGTGAGGTATTCTGCCACATCTTCTAATATTAATTCCACTATACAAGTAGACCTAAGCGGGGCCATTAGAGGATCTAGAGACCTACTGGAAGTGTCTTGGGTGATTCAGGACCATGTCTATTGGGCCAATCTGTATTACACTTCCCTACAACAGACTCTACAGACATAAACAACACCAAGGTGTGCTGGGTCAAAGATCTGAGCTAAAAAAAATCACAAAGATCAGAAAGGCAGAGTTTCCCATCCCAAATGTGCTAGGCTCATCCCTCTGGGGTGCAGGCCCCTATAACATCCATGCCTCACAAGTGTCATTGTTCAGGATGTCCTTCATGCCTGGGACCGCCTCTTCTCATTCCAATAACATCCCTGGAGACGGTTAGGAGCCTGCACCGTACGTAGGAAAATGAAAGCCCAGCAGGTGATGACATGTGGTAGAAAAGAGTCCAGAAACAGTCCAACCCGCTTCCTTTCTTCCCCTGCCTCAGCTCCCTGGTCTATTAGTTTAAATGAACATTTTTCACTGATGAGTAGGATGAATTCATACCATATTCCTGCTCCTCGCTGTACTTTAAGCTAAGACACAGCTTACCATAAGGCCTAATGGTGGCTGTTAGGAATTTGTTTGGTGTACGTAGGCAGTCCCTTCTCCTAATCGGTTCAAATGGGGATTACTCACCAGCAGACCGGCTCCTATAATTCCCGGGAACCACCACTCAAAGCAAGAGATGGGGTTTTCAGAGAATTTGTCATCCTCCACCAAGTTCACGACCAGGGGTATGGCATTGAGGACTACTCCAAACAGGAGGAGGACCAGCAGGGTGAAGCCATTGCAGGACGTCCATCCTTCGCAGCAGGTCATGGTCACCGTCACCTCAGTGAGACGCCCAGTCAAAGTAGCCCTGTGTATGTGCTCGTGCCTTTTATCCTCAGCATCCTGGTTAAAGTTTAGCACTTATTAAAAGATGAATTGTGGAGAGCAGGCCAAAGTCCACTGGGACAGGACCTTGTTGAGAAGTATATTACGAGAACTTAGGATGAATTTTTTGGATGATGCAGTGGAAGGAAGTTGGAGGGAAAACCCCTTCAATTAGATAAATTAATTTACACATAGAACTAGGCAGATGAAGACTTTAGAATTTAGACGGGTTTACCTAAAAAAAAAAAAATTTAAAAAAAAAGCATTTTATTAGCATGGCTATTGCAAAAGCAAAAATAAGACTATGCACTTAATATAGGCTACATTTCTTCCTGTTTAGTTGTTGTTATGACCAGTTAGGAAAATTCTTCAAAGGTCACTGGAAGATGAGAATGACCTGTGCTCATCTAAATGGCTTTTCCGCATCCAAGAGTTGGACAATGAATAAGGAAGGCAGAGGAAGAATCGACGCCTTAGAATTGTGGTGTTGGTGAAGAGTCGTGAGTATCCCATGGACTGCCAGAAGAACCAACCAACCAACCTGTCTTGGAGGAAGTACAACCAGCGTGCCCATAAGTAGCCAGGATGGTGAAATCTTATCGTACATCCTGCGGTCATATTGTCAGGAGGGAACTAGGCCTTGGAAAAAGACATCATGATGAGAAGTTAGAAGGTCCGTGAAAGGAATATTGCAGGAAGACAAACTGACCCAGCTATTGCAACAAAGGGCTTGACCATGGCAGAGATCAGGCAGGCCACGGCAAGGTTCCAACTGCAGTGACCCGATGGCACCTAACAATACTTGCCTAAGGGTTGGCAGTTCAAACCCCCTCAACAGTGTGCCAGAAGGTGGTTCTGGCAATCTGTTGCCATTAAAGTTCGGACCTGAGAAAAATACGGAGCATGTGTTCTCTGTAACAACATGCAGGGCCACCATGGTGTTTTTAGGGAAGTTTTGTTTTTTTAAAGTGTTCACATTGTTGGCCTGAACATAGCTGAGTTTAAGATTTCCTGTGCTGCAAATGGTCTTGATTAATCCAAATATTATGATGCCGTTCCAGACTTCAGGTCTCAGGAAGCAGCCCCTAAAAAGTTTTCAGTGTCATACTGCTGCAGTCTTGTTGACTAACCCATTGGAAATTACCTAAGATCCATCATAAATCTGGTCCGTGTTGTCAGACGAAAGTGATCCTGAACAGAAAGGAAATGGAAAGCCGAAGACAAGCTGGGGGAATGTCTGTGTGTTACCATCTTCCATGTGAGCATGACTTGGCCGTTGATGGCAGGTGATGTTTCAGCGACGTGGTTCTGTGTGGTCTTGCTGCTTGTTTGTGAGATCTTCAAGACGAAATTGGCTTTAAAATGCAAAAATTCCAGGGAGCTCTGGTGACCTCGTGGCAAGAAGCCGTGTTGCGCTTCTAAAGGAGCACAGTTCAAATCCACCAGATGCTTGGCTGACAATGGAGGGGCAATTTCCTCCTGTGCCAGTTGGATCCAACTTGATGGTATCCCACAAGGTGGAGGTGGGGAGTAAAAAATTCTCACCTTTGCTAATACATCATGTGGCTTTGCTCACGAGGATTATGGAGAGAACCACACTGCAGAGGCGCGTCTCTCTCCAGACCCCACCCTTGCAGAAGGCAGGTGACGAATGTGAGGAGCCACGTGTTGTTAGACATCTCTGAAAAGTCTCTCTCTCACGACGACCCCCTGCAGAATGGACACTGGCTGGTCCTGCACCGTCCTCATGACCTCTCTTGTGCCGGAGACCACTGTTCCGGTCACCGTGTCAATCCCTCTGAGGAGCTGACCTTCTACCAAGCATCGTGTCCTTCCCCAAGAACCGGCCCTTCCTGATCGAGGCTTATCATCTGTGCTTCCACGGAACAGTCCAGCTGAGCTTCTGACTCTTGATGCGTCTGTCCAGATGTGACACACTTCACTCCTGCTCACATTTCACTGACCAAATGAGTCAGTGGGTGCAGAAGGACAAGCCAACATGTGTCCAAAAGGAAAGAAAACAATAGGCAGTGCTTATGTCTGCCCTGATTCCCTGCACTTCTGCAATCTCCATACCAGGCTAGAGCGTAGAGTCAGCAATGCTGCTGGGTGGGAATGGTGAATGAACTAACAGAGCCAGTGAGTTCCCCAACTCCTGTGTCAGAAGCTTCGAGGACAATTCCCAGGCTACAGCAACAGAGAGCATTGTTAATGCGTTAGCTGGTTCCAGCCTGGGGATCTAAGCAGGATAGGACTTTTATATCAAAGGGATTAGAATACCTACCCCACAAAATACTAAGAGTACGTGAAAAAACACCACTGCAGAGCTCGTGAGAGTGGGCTTGAAAGTAGCACTCCGGTGACTTACACGTGTCTGCTATATTGCAAAGGCTTCTAGAGCAAGGGGTGTGTTTTATAAAAATCAACAATGAAAATGATCCCTACTACTGAGTTATACAAACATTTTCATATAACACTAATTCCCGAGTTAACAGATTGAATGTTAAGAGGTAATACTTCTCTCATTTCACTATCTTTGGACTTTTCAAGTTTAAATCCTCTTCCTGCCTTCATAGGTGTTAAATTAAAGAACTATTTAAGGACTGTTTTTTAGATATGGACCAGAACTGATCAGATTTTACACGACCACAGAAAATCATAAATTTGTTTGTCAGACTCTTTAATGGGAGAAGAAAACTTGAGTAATTAGCATGCTTTGCTAGACCCTGTAACAACATGTATTTCCTCTCCAATCTGCCACATCTTACTTTTGTGGCTTAAAGGAAATCTCTGTTCTCAGGCACTGCACAACAATCTAGAAGGGAGAAGAGAAGCCGTTGAAATCATATTAAACCAATTTATGGCGCTGCCCCATCAAAATGTGACCCTGCACTTCCAAACCAAGAAGTGTACTGTTGTTCTTGTAAAATGTATCTCACGTAATATTTGCCAGTAAAACGTTGCTTAAGTGCACACCTTAGTGACATCAATTACATCAATTAGCTGTGCGGTTGATACCCTTGATCAATGGCAAATTGCCCATCACCATAAATAGAAACTCAGTGTACTATAAACAGCTACTTTCTCTGACCCCGTCCCTTCAGCCCTTGTTAATCACTAGTAAACTTTGGTCTCTAATTTTTAGAAAGTTTATCTGAAGAATTGTGGGGAATGTAGGAACATCATCTGTCATTTATGAAGGGGAAAGTATTTAAGGCTACTGATGAGAAGAGAATTAGCTTATAGATGGAGGGAGAGAATGTGAGCCAACTTCGGTGCTGTGTGTCCAGCGCACATGCCTACTTCTGCAGAACCTCGCCTCCATCACCACCAAGTCAGCACAACTAACACGTGAATAGACTGTCTAAATCTTATTTGTGCTATTGGACTTTGCTCCGTTCCCTTGATAGTTAGAATAAGGGTAGCTACAGGAACTAAGCTCTTGCAAGCATTCTCTAGAACTTGGACTTGAAAGCAAGAGATACTCATCATTCCCTAATATGTATTAAATGAAACCAAGCTTAGCTGCATGTGAGAAGAAATTGGCATAGTCCAGAGGGAGTTGTGTTGCTAAAAGGTGGCTGGTTCAAACCCACCAGCTGCTCGGAGGAAGAAAGATGAGTAACTTCCTCTCATACAATTTACATCCTCCAAAAACCCTTTGAAGGGTCAGCTATGATTAAGCTCTGACTTGCCAGCGATGAGTTAATAGAGATAGAAATTTCACAAAGATAGAAACTGAGTTCTTCAGAGGCAGGAAGCGGAGGGAGCTACTCAAGAGCTGACCTGGTACCTGCACATCCCAAGGGTCGGTCAGTTCAGCTTATGAACTCATTGTCAATTTGACTTCTTCATTCTTGTTACAGAAGTCCAATGACGGGAACTCCACCCACTGAGGGGCTCTGCCCGCAGCACTCACTATGCCTGATAGAACTGCCCTGAATTGTTCGTAGGGTTTTCAAAGGCCAGTTATTTCAGGAGTGGATGACCATTCTTTCTTCTTAAATTCTGCCTTAATATGGACGCTCTGCTGAAACCTGTCCACCAGGGGTGACCCAGACCCTTTCTGGCAGTTCAATTCTACCAGCAGCTACTTGGCAGAAAAAGGAAAAGTCTTCGATGAGATTTACAGCCTCTAAAACCCAATGAAAAGTTAGCTATGAGTCTGTTTTGGCTTGATAGCAATGAATTTGACTTTGAGTAACAGATACAAGTGATGGTTTTAACAAGCAAATCTGTCTCTCAGTGGAGGAGGTTAGAAACCTAAATTCAGGGTGCCAACTCTAGAAGACCCCCTCTGTGGGCTCTGGAAGAAGGTCCTTGTTACCTTCAGGGTCTCTAGGCTTGGAATTTCTTTGACATCTCCGTTTGTCTGGGTTTTCCCCTGGGTGGAGGGGCTTCCATAGGGTTTATCCACTGGTCTTCTTTCTTGGTTGTAACTGAGGTTCCCCCCACCCCAGTTCATTTTTCTCTCCTTTCATCTCTAGTTAGATAAACAGTGAAACAGGCCACACCTCTTATAAAAAATCGGGGCTGTGATGGGTGAAGGGTGTTGCATCCTATCCTTAGGATTTAGGGAGCTCTGGTGGCCTGTTGTTGTTCAGTGTCGTCGATCCTATGAATGAAAGTCCTCGACATTTTTGTGCGCGAGTTTGCGTCTTTTCTCCAGGTTCATAGGGTTTCCAGAGATAAGCTATTTACGGAAGTGGATGCCACTCCTGCTTCCAAGTTTGTTTCAACCGGGGAGCACTGGTGGCCTAGTGGTAAGAAATGGTGCTGTACTCCCAAAGGCACATGGTTTGAATCTGCTAGCTGCTTTGTAGGGAAAAGGTGGACAATCACCTCCCATGCGATTAACTGCCTTGGAACAGCCCCCGGAGGGTCAGCTATGGGTTGGTTCCAACTTGATAGTACACAATACAACAACAATCCTACCCTTAATC